TCTATATTAAAGCACCCAGTTTAACTGATCGTGCTTTGAATGTCCTTTGCAATCAAGGGAACAATACCTCTTCAGTTGTCCGTGCTGTTTCGACTTCTGAGACTCACTTCAAAGGTGATTGTGCCTCTTAGAAGAGCAGGCAATACGAGGCATCGTTGTTGTTAAATACGGCAGGAGAGAGTGGGGGGAGCGTATTTGCTCTTCTGAGGGCTTCCACAAAGATCAGCTCGAGGGCTTCTAAATACTCCAGCTGCTCTTCAAGTTTGTTGTCGGGCCTCATGTCAATGGGCGCTTGTGCTCACGCTGTGCGGGAGCGTCTGTGCAGGCGAAAATGTTGGCCTTCATAAATTCCGTTCAGCTAAGCAGGACCACGGGGTCTCTGTTTAGCGCTGGACTTTTTACAAAGAGCCTAAGTTTCACGCATGGACTCGTGGACTTTGTCTTTCAACCCACAGCTGTTTCGGTCATCTTCGTTGTAACCTCTGCATACATTGTAAGTCTTGAAAGTTGTCTCTGGGCTTTGAAAGTATCTGATGCGTTGGGCCAATGCCCTGTTGTCCTGTGTTTTAACTGAGAGGAAGTCATCTGCAGAAATGCAAGTAAAACTTAGAAGCTTAGGGCAAGTGGGCTCATCCATCTTTGGGGGCCCTCTTCGGCAAGAGCAACTTAGCAATTAATGAACACACTGGTGGAGAAGGTTGAATGACTCCTGGTTTATCAGGTTACTGGAAGAATTCACTGATGGCCCAGCCTTCTGTAATGAGCTTAGGCCTATAGAGGCAGGAGAAAGAAGAAGAGATAAAATAAGAGAACGTGGTCTCCAAGTAATTTCTATTTAGGAAAAAGTAATTTGCCCCAGCATCCCGATACTAAGCTTCTCTATCCTTTCACCACTGTATTATATTGTAAATTATTTTGTAAAACTAGGACAAGAGAATTGTAGATTGTAATGCTGCCTAGAAACTTGGTTAGGATAGTCCATCCTGGATTGATTGATCCACAGTGTTGAATCTATTTTAGTAACTTGGATTTCGTCTACGTGGGGGGAAATTTCAGACAGTATTTTCCTGTCCAAAAACGGACACCAAAGTGTTTCTAACTATCTTACAATAATAATGAGAATTGGAGGCTTTTGATCAACTTTGTCGCACCTGGATGGAATCTTCTGATTTTGAGACTAACGCTAATTGCCGTGGGAACCAGATGGTGATGCAGTAGTTGTGATGACTCCATGCCAGTGGGTTCTGGCAATCGTGCAGCTGCCTTAAATTTCTCCACTTTCACACTTCTTCCTGAAACATCAGTCTGCAGACAAATCCATCTCAGGATAGATGTTAAACTGATAAGAAGGGAGTAAACTTTTTCTTCCAGAATCTGTCACATTATGTTCAACTTGACTGTTCTGTGCATCTAGGTCATGCAAGGGGAGTACACTTCACTTAAGCCATTTTTATTCATGACGCCTTTTCTATAAAAGTTGTCTAATCGCAGAAGAAGTCTTGCTTGTTTGATCAAATTTGTCGTCTCCTTGGTGGCTTTCGTAGATCTCTTAAAAATCACCAACTTGAGAATCAAGTTTGTGAAACTGCATACTTTGGGAGATAACCTTTTGGATTCCAGAATGGAAATCAGAGAAAAGTACTATTACGCGGTTTACGATATGGTGGTTCGAGGGAATTGCTTCTGCTACGGCCACGCCAGCGAGTGTGCCCCCGTGGACGGCTTCAGTGAAGATGTGGAAGGAATGGTAAGCCCAGCGCACGCTCCAGGCGGCTTTCTTCTCGTCCAGGGGATCCTAAAGAGCAGATCGGAGCTTGTGTTACCTTCAGCCTTGTTTATTTGGGGTTTTATTTTCCCAGACATCTGCTTTCGCCCTTTGTGCCGTTCTGGTGGTTGGTTTTGCGTTTTTCTCTCTGCTGACTTTCTGGGACCGGGAGGATGTCAGGACTGCTCGTTTCACAGACACCGAGTTCATTTTTAAAGATTGTTGCTGCAGTAAATATTTCAGTCAGCGAGGATTACAAAGTTTTCTAAATAACAATCACATCTTCCTTTACTTGAGAGAACATTAAAAACCACAAGCATTCCAGTCTTGACGCTGGAAGGCATAAATTGATCCCAGCTGAAAGACCCTGGAAATTTGAACCTAGAACCACGGGTTACCGTTTAGGGATCAAACGGACTTTTGTTTCTTGCAGTCTTCGAGTTTCATTCTTTTCCCACTTTTATGCAGTGTTTTCAAATTGAGTACTTTTAAAAGTTGGGGGTTTGGGTGATGTGCCAAGTGGACAAAGTTAGGATATTTTACCAATTTCTAAGTGAATTGATAATTCTTGTTAGAAGAGACAAGGAATTAAGTAATTTGCCAGAGGGCTGTAAGTAAGTACCTGGCAGAAGGAAATGCAAATCTTCCTCTTCTGACTCTCCGCCGCTGGACTGTGGGCCTCGCTTGTTTTTAAAAAAAATTCTTTTTGGGGGGGAGGTAATTTTAAAAATCTTACTTATTTTTATTTTTTAGTGTGGATGATAATTAGGTCTATTTATTTTTATTAACAGGCACTGGGGATAGAACCCAGGACCTCATGCATGCTAAGCACTCACTGTACCACTGAGCTGTACCCTCCCCTGAGCCTCCCTTTTTGATGAAAGGTGTGTCTTGCGCAGTTGCTGTTTGCCTTCTCAAAGATTATTAGTCTTCATCTAAGAAGGGAAAGGTGTGGAATTGAGTGTATTCAGCTGCCTAAAACTTCTGCCTTCCGTTTACTCCAGCAAGAACATTGATTGCACAGATAAAGTTGAATTTTTACCTGAGCCTAAAGGCAGAATGAATGTAGCCTTACGATCTTTTTGCTCCATCATCCAGAGAATGCTGGGTAGATTATATTTAATTCCCAGTGTCATAAATGCAGTGTGTAGCTAACCTCCTGAGGTCACGTCACTAGTCTGCGTCTCGCAGTACCTTATTTTGTCGGTTCCGTCCCTTGGTATGTGCTCTGGGATGGGCTTTCAGTCTTTGTAAAACCACCTTGTAATGAGAGGATTTTAGACTCCTGTTAACTGCACTCCTGTCAAGATGGGTCCAGGTGGACCAGTCTGTCCTGTTTGTGAATTCCATTCTGTAGAAACTAGCATTAAGGTGAGGGCCTCATGTAGGTGAATATTTGCCAGAGCAAAAGAATTTATTTCTCATGTAAGTGCCCCTGGGGCTTAAGTGTGTTGGGGGCAATACAGACGAGCCCAGCGTGGGCCCTTCCTAAAGCAAAATCATCTGTATCTTTTTCTGAGAATTTATATTTCTTTCCATTAAGGGAGAGAAAATGTCAATACGGTAAATGATTAATTTTTAAAATCTCATTTTGGGTTGAAAAAATAATTTTTTTTTAAGGGCTATGCCTGAAGTCAAAAACCAGAGCAAGCACATGTACCTTTCTTTTGTGTAGGACGGACAGTAAGAAAAGTGACAGTAATGTGAGTGGTTCCCACGTGGTTTCTGTACACTTAGTTCTCTGTTATAACTTTTTGATTTTTACTGTAATAGATATTTTTAAACCCTTAAATAACTAGTTTTTAAAAAAATTCTTAAGTGACTGATTTTGTTCATCTGTTCTTTCCATTGATACTTCAGTAAAATATCTATTGAGTATCCATTATATGATAGGAACTATTCCTAGAGATGGGAGTCAAAACCATCAGTAGGACAGAAGGACCCACTGGGGAAAGGGACAAAATGAAAACAATCTAAAAATGGGGGACGCGGGTAGAGCTCAGTGGTAGAGTGCGTGCTTAGCGTGAACGAGGTCCTAGGTTCAATCCCCAGTACCTCCATTAAATAAATAAATACATACATAAACCTCATTACCTCCACTCCCCCCCAAAAAACCCCTCATGGTGAGCTACCAATTAGAATCAGCACAAAAAGAGGGGTTTATATCTTCCATTGATTGTGGAAAAAGTCTGGCCGTTAGTGTATCTCTTACTTTGCTCTTTCCTGTTTTTGTAACTTTCAAGGTTCATGGACACTGCATGTGCAGGCATAATACCAAGGGCTTAAACTGTGAGCTGTGCATGGATTTCTACCACGATTTACCTTGGAGACCCGCTGAAGGTCGGAACAGCAATGCCTGTAAAAGTAAGTCTCGGGCAGAGGGACGTTTTTGAATCAGTTCAGACTCCAATAGCCACTCTCTGAGGAGAGGTGCTGTCATAGTACACTATTTTGCAAAAGGAAGAGAAGTCCCTACACTTCTCCCAGCCTCCCCCTAATACTCATAGGAAGTCACTGGCCACTCAGTTAAACGACTCGATTGGTATTCATTGAACAGTAGCTATGTGTTTCATAGATTTGGGAGAAGATGGAGATGTGGGTCCTGGCACTGTGCTTGTTTTTAAGGCAAGATGATCGTGAGAGAAAAGTGGGTGAAGATGATGGCATGGTAGATCAGTGAGGTCTAGGAGAGATGGAATAGTTTTCAGCCTTTTTTCTATGCCAGCCCAGCTGTAGCCTGTGCATTCTTCCGTCCATCCCTCCACCCATCCATCCCAGGGTGTGCTCTGGGCAGAGGGGTAGTTTGGAGCACCACCACCCAGTGCCTCTGATATCATCTCCCCCCTTCAAGGTGTGCCTGCCTCTGCCCCTGCTGAGAAGGACTGTTCTGGGAGCTCAGAAACCAGTGAGGGCTGGAGTGGCCAAGGTTTTGTTAGTAAGTCCAACCAGCTGGCCCTTACCGAATAGTTCCAATTGTTTAGGTAAAGAGAAGAAAGCAGCAGGAAGTGGGAGGGAGTTCAGATAAGGAGAACACAAAACACAAGGCTCCAAGGACACTCTCATGACACCAGAGTCTGTGCTGGGAAGTGATCCCGGGGGTTTCATTCAGTCAGCATACCTAGGGCAGTACTCTGCTGAGCACCAAGGGGACGTCGTGATGAGACAGTCTCTCTCTACGGGATGTTGTGGTGCAGAGGGGAGACAGATGAGGCTAGCGTGTAGAGCCCTGGGAGGACCAATTTGAGTTAAGCTTCATTGTGAGAAGACAAGAGGAATTAATTGTTGAGGAGGGACAGACTGGACCCAGATGGCCAGCTAGAGAGCTGTTAAGGTCTGCTTAACAGAGCCTGGCCTGATGTGGTGGGAAGGGGGAGGTAGGGAATCTGGACTTCCTTCCCTGCTCCTTGAAGTCGGCAGCCCAAACAGGCTCCCCCAGGAATGAACGTATCGCCTAGAAAATCCTCTAGAGCGATGCATTCCCGCCCCTCCCTGAGCATGACCCAGTCGCATCCTCCACGCAACGCAGCCTTCCCGTCGATACGCCTCAAAGGGGACTTTCCCCAAAGGTTTCCAACTTTTCACAGCCCATTCTCTTCCCAAAAGGGGCAAATTATTGAGGTTATTTCATAAAGGCTACACATAAAGGTTTCCAGCATGATTTAAGATTTAAACTCACGTCATAAGCAGACGTGACCTTTTCACCACCAGCACCTTCTTGTTAATTGCCCTGTTGCCTGAACTTTGTCCCCAGTTTCCAAAATGAGCTTCCTTCCTATCGGCCCCATGCTTTCTTGAAAGTGGATTTAAAAGGCTTTTCCTGACACGAGTCTTGTCACGCAGAGTGTAACTGCAACGAGCATTCCAGCTCATGCCACTTTGACATGGCAGTGTACTTGGCCACCGGAAACGTCAGCGGAGGGGTGTGTGATGACTGTCAGCACAACACCATGGGGCGCAACTGTGAGCAGTGCAAACCGTTTTACTACCAGCATCCGGAGAGAGACATCCGTGACCCTAATTTCTGCGAACGTACGTAGGGGACAGTCCCGAGGTGGGGAACTATTTAGGTCACCTTTCAACGTGAATATTGAATACTCTTTCTCTCGGGACTCAGACCCAGCATGATTTTCGCTACTATCTAAGAGGCTGGGGGTAGAATTTACCTGTTAATCCAGCCTTTTTTAGACTATTTTGGTGACATTGGGAGGGATGGAGGGAACACACATATTTCTCAACACATTGTGTGACCTAGCGCTTCTCATTCTTAGAATGCACCTGTGACCCAGCTGGTTCTCAGAATGGGGGAATCTGTGACAGTTACACGGATTTTTCTGCCGGTCTCATTGCTGGTCAGTGTCGGTGTAAATTACACGTGGAAGGAGAACATTGTGACTTTTGCAAAGAAGGCTTCTATGGTTTAAGTGCTGAAGATCCATTTGGTTGTAAATGTAAGTACATTTGTCTGAAAAGTTGGAGAGTGTCCTAAGTATGTAATTTGCATCTTTGCAATTCTTCATCCAGTCTACTGCTTCGGACTGACGTGGTTTGTGCTTCTTTACTTCTTTCTTTCTTTTTGATAAAGCTTGTGCTTGCAATCCTCTGGGAACGATTCCTGGTGGGAGTCCTTGTGATTCTGAGACGGGTTACTGCTACTGTAAGCGTCTGGTGACAGGACAGCATTGTGACCAGTGTCTGGTAGGTGAATCCTAATTACGTGCGATGGGAAGTTTGTGCATATGACGTGTTCCGATAGAGAATGATCTTCACTGTTGTTAGGTTCTACAGAACATCACCCTTTTAGGTAAATATGAAAAGCCACGAGCAGATAGTTCACAAAAGAGGAATTACTAATGAATAATCTTGACAAGATATTCACCATCACTGTTGGAACTATAAAATAAAACCACAGGGAAGTGCCATTTTTACAGGCAAAACTAACAAAAAGTTTTTAAAACTGGGAATGCCGGAAGGAGAGGATATAGCTCAGTGGTAGAACACATGCTTAGCAAGCATGAGGTCCTGGGTTCAATCCCCAGTACCTCCATTAAAGATAAATAAACAAATAAACCTAATTACCTCCCCCCCCATAAAAAAAAGTAATTAGAAAAATAATAAACTGCAATAAAACTGGGAATGCCGGCGATGAAGTGAGGACACAGCAAGGGGCTGGTACTCCTGTGCTGCTGATGGAAACACAGATTGGGTTAGACTTTGCAAAAAGCATTTGGAGACAGGTGTCAGGAACCTGGAGAAGTGTGTGTAGCCTTTGACCCAGTCATTCCACTTCTGGGAATCTATCCTAATGAAATAATGAGAAAATTGGACAAAGGTGTATTCACCAGAAGACTTGTTCCATCTTTTATAATTCATAGCAAAAAAAACTTGGAAGCAACAGTGGGGAAAATAGTTACATTTGGGGGCTTCTATACAATGTGATACTTGGTTGCCATTGAAAATGACGGTAACATGAGGAAATGCTTATGCTGGGGTGAAAAAAATCACAGGTTGTGAGTAGTATCTTGATTATGTAGGGAAAAAAAATTGATCAAGAAAAACAAACTCTGGAAGGAAATAGACCAGAAAGTTCACTATAGTGATTCTGGGTGGAGTAATCATGGGAGTAATTAAAAAAATATTTTCTATATCTTTTACAGCATTCTTGTAATTCCTTTCATAATTTGGAAATGGGGGGTCCACCAACCCCACATTATGTTGATGACCAGTAAATAGGTATATTTACATTTATGCTGATAGATTCTTAAAGTAAATTTCTGGAAGTCTGATTTCAGTTGGCAAGCCTGTTTTTTTATCTGCTCATTAGGGAATACACTTAGGGAATTTGTTGAGGTGTGCCATTTGTCACTTCTGTGCCATTTCTTTTTATTTCCATCTCCAGTGGTCTTGGAGCTCGGCAATCCCCTCAGCTTTGAGCTGTGCAAACAGCCCTTGCATTAGTCTGTGTTTCTACGTGGACAAATCCTTGGAGAGCTTTCATGGAGTTTACGACTTAGGGAAAACACTAAGTCCTGCCAAATATTTGCCAAAACTCTCACTGCCAGCATAGTTCTAAGGAAAAGTGGCATGTTTGCTGCTAGCTCATATTAATTCTTGGGTGAAGGCTATTTGCAGGGCAAGGAAACTACTCTGATCTGGGCTCGTCACTATGCAACCCCCTCTGACCCCAGCGACCTGCAGCTTGGGTTCTTCATTCTGGAATACTCATCCTTGTGCCTTTTGTAGGCTTTCTGCTTTCATGGTGCAGATGAACGTTTGGAACACCCAAAACACGCCACGACTTGTCTCTTGCTGAGTCTGTTGTGTAATTACAGGAACCCCCCCTTTAGACATTTAATCTTTTGTTCTGCAGCCAGAGCACTGGGGCTTAAGCAACGATTTGGATGGATGTCGACCTTGTGACTGTGACCTTGGGGGAGCCTTAAACAATAGGTGAGTGGAGCTGCGCGGACACTCTCGGACCCTGTCACCTCACAGAGTCCTCATGACCTCTAGGACGAGCAGGACGCTCAGGGTGATAAGCAGGGTGCGTTCACCTTGGTTTGAATGCCTGATAATGACTTTGACCTGTGCTCTTAAGATTCTCAGACTTCTTCATTACGAGAGTTAGTTCTGAAGCCTTCCCTCAGATGTTTGTTTCTTGGTTTTTAATCGTGTTAACTTGTTTCATATTTTACTTTTCAATATTTTTTAAATTATGGAAACTATGTATGCTCGTGGTTTTAAAACAGAATTCAAACAGTTCAGACAGGCATTGTGCCCTTTTTTCTCACGCAGTTCCACTGCCGTCAAGTGCTGCTGTTGAATGTTTCTTGTGTCTCTCTAGAAATTAATAATAGTGCTCTGAATACTTGTGAAAAAATTAGTTTCTTTCCTCTCATTTCTTTTTTTTTTAAATCTTTCTGATGAAGGAGGGTAATTAGATTTATTTATTTAGTAGAGGTACTGGGAATTGAACCCAGGACCTCATGCATGCTAGGCATGCACTCTACCACTGAGCTATATACCCTCCCCCTCCTCTCATTTCTTTTTAAATAACAGGTTAGGTTTTATTTTTTTTAACAGGCAGGTAGAAAGAAAAAAATAGTCCGTGATTTCTTACTTGGATTTTTTTAGGGACTTTTTGTAATAAATCAAAGTGATATGTGTATGGCTAGTAAGCTGCAACTTTTTTTAATTTGGAGATCTTTTTTCATATCAACATGTATTCATCTAGCTCTTTTTTTTTGTATTCCATCATGTGAAAGTGACATGATTAATTCCTTTTTGTTTTTTGCTTTTTAAAAATATTGCAGTGAATATCCTGCAGATACATCTTTTTTTATTGAAGTATAGTCAGTTACAGTGTGTCAATTGCTGTGTAAAGCACAATGTCCCAGTCATGCATATATGTACATATGTTCATCTTCATATTCTTTTTCATTAAAGATTATTACAAGATATTGAATATAGTTCCCTGTGCTATACAGAAGAAATTTGCTGTTTATCTATTTTTATATATAGTAGTTAATATTTGCAAATCTCAAACTCCCAAATTTATCCTTCCCATCCCCTTCCCCCACTGGTAACGATAAGTTTGTTTACTAGGTCTCTGAGTTTGAGTTTTGTAGATAAGTTCATTAGTGTCTTTTTTCTTTTTTTAGATTCCACATATAAGTGATATCATATGGTATTTTTCTTTATCTGTCTGACTTACTTCACTTAGAATAACAGTCTCCAGGCCCATCCATGTTACTGCAAATGGCATTATTTTATTTTTATGGCTTAGTAATATTCCATTATATAAATAAGCAACAACTTCTTTATCCAGTCGTCTGTCAATGAACATTTAGGTTGCTTCCATGTCTTGGCTATTCTTGCAGATGTATCTTGATAAATGTTTACAGACATATCCCCAGATTAGGCTCCCCGTGGTGGAACTCCTCAGTGAAAGTACATGTGCATTTTCTGTTTTACTAGAGGATGTCAGATTGTCCTCCAGACAGATGGTGCTCGTCTGTTTGCCTCCTGACTGGTTACAAAGCCCCTTTTCCCCCGTCCCCACCAGCAGTTGGTATCATCAGACGTTTTATTTCCTACCAATCCAAGAGATAGAAAATGAAGTCCCACTTTGTGTGTAAAGAATCTTTTCATTTCCTCCTTCATGATTTTATTTTTTTCCAACTTCCAAGCACATTCATGAAAATTACCTATGATAATTTTAGTTACTTGAAAATGTTGGTATTCCTTGAATAGATGAGATGTGAAGCTCTCACAAAAATGATCAAAATACACATTTTGGCAAGATGTTAAATGTGTGGGAGTTTGATGAATCACCTTTGAGTCAAAGAGGATTTGAGTCTCTGTTACTGGATCAGATTCAGAACATCTGGTCAAAACAGTGTAAGTGACTGTTGGGAGGACAGGCAGATGTTTCCTTGTGGCCAGAGCCTTCCGTGAGAGAGCACGCTGGGTTCACTGAGCAAGCTTCATGTGCGCGAAAACTGACTCTTACGAGAATGATTTCCCAGCGCCGTGGTAGTCTGCTTGGGAGGGAAGAGTTTAGGCAGCAAGAACATATTCTCTTTGGCCTCTGGATTTGGGTTTGTTCTATTCAAGATAGTGCAGGAAACGCAGGACAGCATGTGGCCTCTGAAACTCCAGGGTGAATTTCTGTTCTTAGAAACCCTCCGGAGGGGAGGAAGTGAGGATAATCCCATAAAAATGGGAAGGAAGACCAACTGCTATCTGCTTATGGAATCATGTCTGTGACTTTCCATCATGATTCCTAGAACACATGCCGACTCCTTTAGTAATTGATTCATCAATTCCAAGCTGTCATCCCTCCAAAAATCCTTCTTGATTAGTGGCATACATAACTCTCCAAGTTATGTCCTAAACTCGGGAATGTCCTATGTTCCTTGATCCTCAACGGTTTCTGTCACTTACACTCCCTCCCTCTTTCTCTCTCTTTCTCACTTATGCTTCCTGTCCCTAAATCCACCCACACACAGCCCCCAGCCTGCCCCCTTGTCTCTCCTGCAAAAATGTGTGAAAACCAGAACGTGCTAATCAAGAGAGTTTATGAAGCAGAACATTTTAGTGAAGATTTTAAAGTGGGTCGTTATCTTTCTAGCATGATTGATGAGATGCCTTACCTTTTGGCATCATGGATGGGAGGGGAAAAAAGAAGCTTTAAAGATGCCTCTAGTCTTGTGACTCCACAGTGTTTGGCAGGGATCCTTTTCAAGGCTGTTTTTCCCCATGAGGACTTTCTTTGAGAGTCCCAAAGGGGTGATAGAGGTTCTGTCTTCTGAAGTACCGATTCCACTAGAACTCTGGGTGCATGGCAGATACTCAGAATTCACTTACTGAATGATTTCTTGCGAACACTTGTGAATATCTCCCACCTGATAATATTACTTTGCTTTGCCTTGGCCACTTGTTGAATAAATGTTGATAGAGTAAAAGAATTTGAGAAACAAAAGATTTTTATGATATAAAAACTAAACATGCACTCCCATTGCCTTGGGAGAGGCAATCTCGAGATCAGTCCCAAACATTCCTTAGTTAAGTTACTTTGGCCAGGGACAGATGAAGTGTAAAATCATGAAGTGGAAAAATGTTCGTTAATGAGCTGAACGGGTTTTGGTAGAACAATAAAAGTTTAGTAATCCATGTCTATTATGTTGACAGCTAATCTGAACTTGCGAATATTTTAAAGTAAGACTTAATTGATTTAAGTAACATGATTCAAGCCAGGTTAATGAAGTTTTGCCTAGTAGATAACCTGCTTTCATGAATAAGAGTGATTGCTAAGGAAAATGCTGCTTGCCAATGTTTAAAAACATTGAAAAATATAAACAACTTTGCAGCATCCTTTAAAATCATTTCATCAATTAAATTTAGGACTTTGATGTCTGGCTTGAAGCCCATCACTTTTGTGAAGACTTCTCCTTCCCAGACTGAAGTCCCCAACCCTCCCTTGATGTGAAAACACATTCACAACAACACGTCACTTCTGTATTTCTGTCCGTCCTGCTTCTGCTCGATTCTGCTCTGTTGTAGCTGTTTGTATTTCCAAGGTCTCTCTGGACAGGGATTGTGTCTCACCTGTTTTTGCGTCTCCCTCTGTGCCCCCAGCACTGTGGTAGGTGCTCAGTAAATGAGGAACTGAAATTTATCGTACTTTGAAACCAGAGCAGAAATTAATAGATACTTTCATTGGCATATTGAATGATTATCGTATATCTAACCTTTTGTTAATTGCTGTGGCTGCTGGACATAGAGATTTTGGAATATAGCTCCTACCCTTTAAGGAAGTATTCCAGTTGTAGGGAGGTTGGGGGAGGCAGGAAGGCTTTGGAAAAAAAAAGTATGGTGCTGATTGCTTATCAAAGTGGAACCAACTCTTACTTGTAATCAGAATTATGGAGATGTCAATGTTGAACAGAGTAGTGGTCCTTAGAAATGATGCTTTAAAAAAAACTTGGTGGGGGGCAGTAATTAGGTTTGTTTGTTTTTAGAGGCAGTACTGGGGATTGAACCCAGGACCTCATGCATACTAAGCACGTGCTCTACCACTTGAGCTGTACCCTCCCCCAGGAATGATTTTTATCCATTAATGGCTTTCTTTTTATGAATTTCTTAATAATAGAGATGTTGAGTTTTTACAGTATTTTCCCCTGCTCATCACTGTTTAAATGAAATGGTCTGCCTTGCAATAGTTGCTGATTTCTATATTGATGAGAAATCTGTTTTTGAAAGATACCCTTGGCCTTCACCAAAAAAACTGCGCCTGTGTTAGTTGTCTCTCGTTGCCATGACACATTACCACGACTTGGTGGCCTGAAACAACATAAACGTATTATCTGATAGTTCTGGATGTCAGACATGATCTCAGTAGACTAAAATCAAGATGTCGGTAGGGCTGTGTTTGTACCTGAAGGCTCTGAGACCCCCCTGCTCATTCAAGTTGTTGGCAGAATTCAGTTCCTTTTGGATGTCGGGTGGCATCCCCATTTTCCTGCTGGCCATCAGCTGAGGGCCCGTCCTGGCTTCTGGAGGCTGCATATGTTCCTTGACTCATGGCCTCCTTCTTTGACCTTCCAAGCCAGCACCAGTGGGTCAGTCCTTCTCATGGCACAGCTCAGGCCCACCTAGATAAGCCAGGATAATCTCCCTTCTCAAGGTGCTTAACTCCAGTCATGTCGGCCAAGTTCCTTGTGTCACGTGAGGTCACATACCAGAGACTCCGGGGATGAGGATGTGGACCTCTGTGAAAGCCATTATTCTACCTGCCCCAGGACCTGATTTATTGTGTTTGACGTCCTCACTCTACCTGACTGAGCTGATGAATTGAATCTGTATCGAATTATAGGGAAATTGGTGGGAGGAATATATAAAATTGTAAAGTGTACCATTTCTATCGAGTAGGATTTTTACATGAACACAGGAAAAAACAATGACAGTTATGTAATAAATTGATAAATGTATAATGAATAATCTTTTTTCTCACTGTGGAGGAGGTGGGATTTGAACTTCAGGTGAAGGCACAGTTGGGCGAACGTGGCTTGGTCCAGGTCAGACCAGATCTTGGTCTGATCTTGACCATCTCTGCTCACATTCCTCCGTTCCCCCTCTTTGTTCTTGTCTTCTCATCTTCCCTGCCTGGCAGAGCCTCTGTCTGCAACCTTCAGGGCCACCCTTTTCTGGCGCCCCTCAGCCAGATGAATGGTGTCTTCGTCTCACCCCTAGTTCTTTACGCTTAGCTCTGAAAAGGCACCTCCTGCATTTTGAGCTGTGTCTTGGCCAATTGCTTGATTGTTTATCTCCCCAGTTAGACGGGGAGTTCTTTAGGACAGGGGCTATTTTTTCCTTCCATTTTGTTCTCCATATCAGTTAGCTATAAACAATGGACTTAATGAGGATGTAAGGACTGGTTCAGAGGGAAGTTGACAATGGACTAAAATGTGAGAGTATTGACACTGAAAGCACAGCTTTCAGGGCCAATTATTTGCTCAGTAAATATTTGTGGAAGAGGCTGAGGAGTGTGGCTGATCTGAAGCCAGGGGCGGGCAGAAGAAAGAGAAGCAGTTGCTTTCAGAGGATGCGTCATGGAGCTGCTGGAAATCGGGCAGAGGCACCATGACTTGATGAAGAAATAAGGGGTGTGTCCTTATAAAGTAATGAAGGCGGTGCCATGGAAAGATGGGTTTGCCAGTATAAGTGAATGGATTGGGCAGGGGAGAGAGAAAAGCTAGAAAGGTCAGTTTGGGAGGCGGCTGGAGTAACAGAGATGGAATGATGATGTGCTGGACCAGGGTCGTAACAGCAACAACGGGAGGAAACCACCGAGTTGAGAAACGTCTTGAAATAACACATGGGTGTCATTGAGGATAAGGGACAGGGTAGATGACGTCTCCCCTACATCAGAAGAATTTAAATCTGCTGACAGATAGCAGAGGTGAAGATACGAAGTCAGCGTGTGAGGTGATGAACGCTTGGGGACAAAATGAGTTAGAGGTGACAGCTGGGCAGACCATGGAAATGTCCAGCCAGAGCACAGCTGAGGAAGAACTAAGAGCTGTAAGTGTGAGGGCCGTCTGCCGGGGGCAGGGAAAGCCACAAGAACGAGTTCATCAAAGGGGGAAACGCTGCGTGGGCGCCATGCCTGCCGATGGCAGCAGTTCAAGTGTGAAGACACAGGTGTGCGAGTGGCGGGGCTGGTGCGAGGGGAGTGCCTTTCGCACGAGTCCGTTCCCCTTTAGAGCTGTGCTGTGGGTCCGCGGGCGTCAGGAGCCTGCCCGCTGTCTTCATCCTCACTCTGCTTTGCTTGCTCTCCTGTGATGGATGGCAGGGGGCAGAACCTGGTCTTTTCTTCCTTGGTGGTTCATGTTTTGGACGTTTGTTCCCTCACCAGACATCTGCTGGGGAGGAAAGAAGGATTTTCTTTAGTCCGTATGATGTCATGTCTGCTGCGTGAATTTGGGAAAATGGCTTTGGTTGGTGGGTTGAGCCAAAAGAGGGCTAGGTCCTAATTGGAACAAGCTTTCCTCCTCGGGGAATTGGCAACGGGACGTTAAGTGTTCTTACCCCTGTAGGACAAAAACTGTTTATGTGACACACAGGAAGAAGACTTCAGCTGGACCAAGATAGGGCTGTTTGGGGTGTTTTTAATAAACCTCTGAGTGTTCAGACTTCCTGTGAGTTATAACTTGCCTTAGGTACTTGGTTTAAAATGAACTTTGGGATGAGAGGAGAAAAAAAAAAAAACTCTGGGAATAGGTTTAAAGTAATAGTTCCAAACCACATCTTGATTTTAATGAAGTAAAAATGGGTACGTGTAGTTCAGTTTTACCTTGTCTTAGAGTCATGATACAGAGGAAAAAGACAGAGGCTGAGAAAAAAACAAATACATTATAGTTTATCCGAGGTCTTTGTTACCTAAAATAATGAGTAATAACAGAAAAGTTATTTATATTAAATCTCCTATTTTTCCTTTTTTCTACTTTTTTTATTCAAAATGCCTGTCCTTCACACACTGATCTGTTCAGCCGACCCTGGAGTGTGTCTGCGTGGAGAGCGTTGGGCCAGGCCCCTGGGGAGGGTGACTGAGGCACAGTTCAGGGCTTACAGCCACCGAGGGGGTGAGGTAGTTCTGTCAGTAGTTCTACTGGAAGAGAGAAAGTGATAAATGTCTTAACAGTAGAGATAAAGACCAGTGGAGACCTCAGAAAGCACCACTTGAGAACAGAAGAGGAAGGGGACCAAACAGGACTTTGTGGAAAGGATGACAGTTGAGCAGGGCTTTGAAAAACAGGTAGGATCTGAAGGCACGGTGCCTCAGCTGTGATGTGAACATCTGCTTGGTGATAAGCTTTGCTGTAGATGCTGTACATACGTCGTTTCCCCTGCCAGGAGGTGGTGGCGTGAAGGAGAAGGTGGTTCTTTGTGTGGAATGGGGAGTGATGGTGAGGAAATACGACAACAGGAGCCACTCGTGAGCTGAATCTTAAAAGAAGAATGGGGAGGATCTTTGCTGAGTAGATAAAAGAGCAGGGCGTTCCAGGCTGCAGGAACCACACGAGCAAAGGGAAAGGGTCTAAAGGGTCGTGAACAACCCAGTGCTTGGACAAACTAAGTAGCTGGGTGTGGTTGGAGAGACAAAGGGGAGAGGGGAGGCTAGAAAGGTAAGGGAGAGCCAGGTGTGGGAGGCCTGGTGCGCCTCCCCAAAGCCATCGTCCCTGGAAATGATAAAGTTGATGGATCTTAGAAAGGTCATTCAGGCAGCTCTGGAGGAAGGTGGCTGTTTAGGTTGGGAAGTTGGAAGACTGGCAATAAAGATATCAATTAGAAGAGTGTCACTGCTTTTACTGTGAGCAAGAGAGAGAAGAAAGGCATAGTACAGCCATGGAAGGAGGGGAGAGAGACACAAGATGCCAGGAAGGGAAGTCACAGAACTGGGTTCCTCACTGGATGTGAAGAAGGAATCTAAGGAATAACTTCTAGGTTTCTGACCAGATTGACTCGGTGGGTGGTGATGTCTTCTCCCCAGCAGAGAACACGGGAGGGAGTGGGTCCTGCCCTTTGGGGCCTGTGGTTCGCCTCTGGGACCGCTAACTGGGAGCTGTCCTTCCGGGAGTTGGTTATCTGGGTCCGAGGCCCAGGAAAGGGGCTGCAGTTGGAAATATGGAGGAAGAGATAAAATCTCAAAGCAAGAACATATGTGATACCTACAGAAAACCCCCAACGTGGTGCGGATGGAGCACAGGAAAGGGACAGCAAGGGAGTTAAAACTGAAAGACCAGGTCGCGGAGAGCTTTCAACCTTGAAGTTTGGGATTAATTTGGAGGCAGTATTTTTCCCACGTACTTATTTTCTGAAGGAAGTAAGAAAAGCCTCCCTGAATGCTTCACCCCATTGAATGCTTAATGGCAAATACAGACCTGCATCCGGGGGTTCGTTTATGAACGTGGTGAGCACAGCTGACCCGATTCTCCTTCATTTCCAGTTGCTCTGCGGAGTCGGGCCAGTGCGTGTGCCGACCCCACATGATCGGACGTCAGTGTGACGAAGTGGAATCCGGTTACTACTTCACCACCTTGGATCACTACATCTATGAAGCAGAGGAAGCCAACTTTGGGCCTGTAAGTAAGGAGGGGGCTCGCCAGATGGGTAAAGGAGTGTTTCCTGGAGCGGTAATGGCATCTGCACATTGTGTAAAGAGACCAGTTAAGAAGCATCTCATCAGTGAGTGTGGAGAGGGGATCAAGACTGTGCCTTCTTGAGAACAGTCATATTTAAAGCTAAGTACAAGAAAATTAAAAAATAAAAATAAAGCTAAGTACGTCAGTAACTCAGAAAGAGACTTTGGAACACTCACCAGTAAGGCTTTTGGTGTTTTTTAGCGGAGGGGGCTTGTTTTTCTCATTTCATTCTTCCCTCTACTGATGCTCCAAAGTTATTGACCTAATACAGTAAATGCTCAGTGAAGCTACTGTTTGTTTTCTATTGTCACGTGACAAGCCACCCCCAAAGTTAGTGGCTTTAAAATACGTGTCTGACACTTCAGCTGGGGTGACGGGGCACTTTTCTCCAAGTAGCCATCTCGAGCTTCCTCACAGAGTGGTGGAGTCAGGGTAGTGAGACTTCGTGCATGGCTGCTGGCTTCCAAGAAGGAGGAAACAGAAACTGCCAGGTCTCTTACGGTCTGGGCTGAGAAGCCCCGGAATGTCGTTTTCTCACATTTTGCTGGTCACAAGTCTCAAGGCCAGACCGGATTCAAGGGCAGGGGAACATGGGTTCCCCCTCTTGATGGGTAAGGCCACACACGTACATTACAAGGAATGAACGACTTCATCTTCAGAGATGACTGATCACTGGCGTTATATATAATCCTTTGGACAAACCCGAATGCATGTTTGAGTTAAACAACTCAGCTTGATCCATTCTTGGTCTCGGTGACAATCAGAATTCACTCATCAGCTATGAACATGCATGATTGTACCAAGTTTCCTTACTTGTACTTGGAGCTTGAAACAAATGCCAGTGAGAATGACAGACAGACAGACAGCCTCGAGATAGCGGACCAGCCTCGTAGAAATCCAGGACCTGGTCCTAGGCTTGTAACTGCATCTGGGATGTTCTCTCTCCTTCCTTCATGCGCACTTCCCTGGTTGTATCATAGAAGCTGTATCCCAAGCCTGGAATCCCACCCTCAACGTCCCAAGACCCTCAACCTAAGAACTAAAAAGAAACTGATTTCCCATTAATATATCAAAAGCTTTTTTCAGTGTGCTGGGAAACTGATTGCAGAAAGGGGTATAATGTCTTCAGTTTTGGACCTTTGGGTGACTGTAGGTTTCCTTGACTGGTTACATCGAATTGAATTGCATTTCCAGTAGAGTGGCACTACTGTCCTCTCGTCCTCAGGGGGTCAGCATAGTGGAGCGGCAGTATGTCCAGGACCGGATTCCTTCCTGGACCGGAGCGGGCTTCGTCCGGGTGCCCGAAGGGGCTTACTTGGAGTTCTTCATTGACAACATACCGTATTCCATGGAGTACGAGATCCTAATTCGCTATGAGCCACAGGTAAGCCCTCAGTGGACTAATGGAGTAGGGAATATTGGTAGAAAAGCCCTTCTTCTAATGGACCCAATGTCTTTGTGAAATGTGGTTACATTAGAATAGGAAGTTGTCTGACTTGCCATCGTCCATGGAAATGAAAGTGTACGTTTTTCTTGAATTCACTGTCACCAGCATTTAGTGATCTCCTTGTTAGGCACCCAGCCTTGCTGAGAACTGAGGTGGTGGTGAGAAGGTATCACGTCCTCTCCTTGTCCTGACGACTGCACTGCCCAGGGATGGACACGTGCCCCTAACTGTCATCAAAGGTGGAGGGTGGAAGAGCAGAGACACAAACGGTGCTGGAAGATGAGAGGTTCATTCCAGCCAGGCTGTTCCAGGGGCTGCTGTGTTTCGTAAAGAATCAGGTGTAGATCTTAAAACCTAGAAGGAGTTTTGCCACAAGAGGAAGTAAGAGGTAGCATGAGCAGCGCAGAGAGAGTGTTTAGGGCGTCCTTCCACAGGGCCGGGTCACGGCTATGGTTGGAGATGCTGTTAAGAGAAATGCTACGATCAGTAAATGAACTTGGACTGTGTATTAACAAGCTTACAGAGGATTCTGGGCAGGGGGTTGTCCTTATCTAAGCTGTGTGTTTTGTTGTTGTTGTTCTTATTTTTTGTACTTTTAAGTCAGAGAAAGACAAATATGTGGTATCACTTATATGTGGAATTTAAAAAAAACATGCAAATGAACTTATTTGCAAAACAGAAACAGACTCACAAACACAGAAAAACTTACGGTTACCAAAAGGGGAAAGATGGGAAGAGATAAATTAGGAGTTCGGGATCAACAGATACACGCTACTGTATATAAAACTGGTAAACAACTAGGACCTACTGTACAGCACAGGGACCTATATTCAATAGCTTGTAATAACCTATAATGGAAGAGTTTGAAAAAGAATATATGCATATGTATCATTGAATCACTTTGCTGTACACCCAAAACTAATGCAATATTGTAAATCAGCTGTACTTCAATAAAAATAAAGAACAAGGACCTACTTATAGCACAGGGAACTATATTCAATATCTTGTAATAACTTAACATGGAAAAGAGTCTGAAAAAAGTGTATGTGTATAACTGAATCACTATGCTGTACACCAGAAACTGACACAGCGTTATAAACCGACTATACTTCAATTTAAAAAGAAAGAGCTGTGTTTTAAGAAGGATGGAAAGGGATGTTGGGAGAGGCCTGGAGAGCAGTGGGGAGGCTGTTACAGTATCCAGGTGAGAAGGGATTTGGGCTGGAACTGGGGTAATAATCAAGGAAATGGTAAAGAGGGAAGGGAAACTTCACAAGTGAGTGTTTTCCATTTCAACTTGGCTAATGATCAATCTTGAGATGTTTTTACAAACAAAAGGGCAGCAGTGGGTCAGCACAGAGGGTCCTTCTGATCGTCTATTTCTTCCTCTAGCTCCCCGACCACTGGGAGAAGGCTGTCATCATGGTGCAGCGACCTGGGAAGATTCCAACCAGCAGCCGATGTGGAAACACTGTTCCCGATGATGACAACCAGATGGTGTCCCTGTCGCCTGGCTCCAGGTCAGTGTGACGGTGGTTTGCACCCTAGTGGAACTAACATGCAAATTCAGTTTTTTTCTGGTGTCTCGCCCTGTGAGTTGTACAGTTAACATTTCACAGCCGGGGCCAGACGTGGACTGGCGACTTCCTTCCTTTGGGCTGACCAGCATAGAGCTTTGATAGATCAGATACGTAAAGGTGGACCTTTTGTCGCTGTTTCTCTTTTGTTTCGGGGCAGGTATGTGGTCCTCCCACGCCCCGTGTGCTTTGAGAAGGGCGTGAACTACACGGTGCGGTTAGAGCTGCCCCAGTACACGTCCTCCGACAGCAGTGTGGACAGCCCCTACACGCTGATCGACTCCGTAAGTGCAAGGTCGTTGCTGGCGCCAGGGGAGGGCTGGGCAGAAAGTGTGCATCCGCCCTCCCGGGGCTTCTGCCGAGGGCATGCTAGGCAGTGAGGCGGAGTCACTCTTTCCTGCCTCCAAGGCCACTTCGCTTATTTATTTTAATAACTCTGCCGTCTGGAAAGGATCTCCTCAAGCTGATCCTTCCTGAAAATATGAAGTACCTTGACAATGATATTTCAAAAATCATCACACGATGTAAGGGATGTCTAAACCTTTTCTGGCAAGTATATTTAAGAATGGGAAGATTTTCCCGTGACTCCATGAGTCTGTTCATTTTTTTTCTTTTCAAGAGTCTTAGAAGCACTTGAGGGTTTTATGTGTTGACTTGGTTCATGGATGACCCAGGACATGCCCATAAGAACAGTGTGTTCTTGTTTCTTCCTAGCTTGTTCTCATGCCGTTCTGTAAGTCCCTGGACATCTTCACCGTGGGAGGCTCGGGAGACGGGGTGGTCACCAACAGTGCCTGGGAAACCTTTCAGAGATACCGATGCCTGGAGAACAGCAGGAGCGTCGTGAAGACGCCCATGACCGACGTTTGCAGAAACATCATCTTCAGCATCTCCGCCCTGTTGCACCAGACGGGCCTGGGTAGGTATTGCTGTGCTGCTGCCCCTGCTTCCTCGAGAGCACGAGGACACTTGGCATCACGAGGTGCGCGGGCAGGTGTGCCCTGCGGTTCCTGTGGGGCAGTTAGCACGAGGGAGATAGTGTCTCAACTACAGTTGGTCTTGATTTTTTCTTTTTTAAAGTGTATTGGTGAAAGAGCATGACTGACAACGGAATCGTCATCCAGAAACAGACTAGGGACCAGGGAAAAGTCCCTGAGACTTTGCATTCACAGGGTGGGGAGTCGGAATGAAACTTACGTTTTTCGCTTTGAAAGGTCACTTGGCTTTTGTTGGAGGTCCTGTGATTCCTGAGCTTTGAAGGCAAGGGGAGAAACCCTTCATGACCTCCTTCCTAGAAAAACTGCCTGTATCTATCAACCCCGGCTCCTGCCACTTCCCTCACACCCCTCTGAGGGATGTTACTGTTCTAAATGGAGATTCTGAAGGAGCAGAGGTGGTCCAGGCGGGGAGGGTCCAGAACCGGGCAGGACGCGACGTGCCCGTTGCTGTGCGGGAGTGGCTGCCCTGTCTCACAGGCTCTCACCTCTCTCCTGCAGCTTGTGAATGCGACCCTCAGGGCTCATTAAGTTCCGTCTGCAACCCCAACGGAGGCCAGTGCCAGTGCCGGCCGAACGTGGTTGGAAGAACGTGTGACAGATGTGCTCCGGGCACCTTTGGTTTTGGCCCCAGTGGATGCAAACGTAGGTTCATGATAACAACCATACCGTGTTCGTTCAGATGAGCGGAGTCATGCTAGTGTGGGGCCCCCAGCTTCGGAAGGCCTGCTCCGCTCCAGAAATTGATCACAGGGGGCCCGTGAGTGTTCTGCCGTGGGCACGAGGGGCTGGTATCTAGACGGGATGTGTTTGCATTTACTGGGCTTCTCACCGTGGTCCCTTGGTTGCCTGTTTCTTCAGCTTGCGAGTGCCACCTGCAAGGATCCGTCAATGCTTTCTGCGATCCCATCACCGGCCAGTGCCACTGTTTCCAGGGGGTGTACGCGCGGCAGTGTGACCGGTGCTTCCCCGGGTACTGGGGCTTTCCGAGTTGCCAGCCCTGCCAGTGCAACGGCCATGCCGATGACTGCGACTCGGTGACAGGGGAGTGCTTGAGCTGCCAGGACTACACCACGGGTCACAACTGTGAAAGGTACGTGGACATGACCTCTTGAAATTTTGGGGACGAGGTTGTTTTTGGCTGAGCAAAGAGCATCTTAAACAAACTACAGAAGGAATCTGTCTCCAGCTCTGGGTGGCTCATTTCTGACCACCTCAGTATCTTCTAGGAACTCATTCATTTCACCAGTCCATATTTAGTTTATGCCTCCCGTGTGCCAGGCATTGTTCTGTGCTGGGGATACAGCTGAGAACAAACCTGATGTGAATCCGCCCTCTTTGGGAGTCAGCCTGGAGATCGCCTTAAGGCTGGACAGACATCATCTCCCTGTCTCAGCAGATTTTTGGCCGAGGATGAGACTTGTGAAATGTTAAAACTGCCTGATTTGGGTCAAAGTGGAAACCAAATCCAAATGGGGGTGAGTCATTTTCAATGGCTCTGTTTTCCGAAATGTTTTACGCAACTATAATTTCTAGGAGGCCACAGAAAATGAACAAAAGTGGATCTGTTCTCCAGTCAGCAAATGTTAATTGAATAATTATGGATGTCCTGCCCTGCAGTAGGTATAAGAATGGGACCCAGAGTGGGCCTCGAATAACGTGACAGCCCAGCTCAGTACATAAGGAAACATTCATGTGAAAAAATGACATGCCCACTTAATATTGTTTGTTAATAATGAAAAAAGGCAGACGTGCTATTAAACCTGCTTGTTTTGGACTCAGTCTCTACCTTTAATGTCAGAAATCTTCTGTCTTCTAATATCCATCTGCACTGTATGGGATTTTTGTTTTAAAAAATTCAGCAAATGCTTCAGCCGGTGGGAAAGTTACTCATCAGATGAAGGAGAAATTGTTAGTGAAAAGTGAATACGTGATGACCTTATGGCAGGAAAATGTGCGTGGCAGCAAATACCGGGCTCTTGGCTCCATGCTGGATGGTACTTGCACATTTTGGGGATTCCAGTGACTCCTCAGAGTAAAAGTCAGTCCTTCCAACCGCAAAATTGCGTTGGAAGAAGATAACAGGAAAACGGTTACACAAGATCAAAAGGGAGAAATTAATATGTTAGTGTCATCTTTTGTTTTCTGTGTTGTTTTTCATTACTATTCTTTCAATGGGAAATGGAGAGTAATTTTGAGAGAAAGAGACAGATGAGAAACTCAGATGAAAAGGGGGAAAAGCGCGTGTAGGGAACAGATAAACAGGTCAGTGTCCACCAGGCTGATGTGAAGTCAGGCAAACTGTGAATTTGATCTGTCAAGCATTTTGATTTCTTGCAGGAGAACTTGAAAGGGTGTAGAAGAAGAAAAGATTTTTAGCCCGAGGTGGATGATGAAGTTTCATTTAAGTGCTTTTGAGATTCTGCTCTCTGGTTTGAGCCAATTTCTCATCATTCTTGTCCTCATTCTGGGATGTTCAGAGTTTCAGACCCAGGAATTTAAAAAGAAGCTCTAGGCTCAAATTGGTCCCAAAGGGGACGGGGAGGGGGAGGCAGGAAATGAACATTCTGTTTCTTTCATGATGTATTTGGATTTATTTCACCTAGAAAAGCCTCATAGAAATCTTTCTCAGAAACCACTGCACAAAGTTGCCTCATCACTGCTGAGTCTTCCAGCACATAACTGGGGCATGTGTTCTTGTATAATGTCTGTGTCTAATTAAGTAGAAGGTTAATTTCCTCTGAAGAACTTCCCCTTCTATTTCATCATCCTCTCTGCACTCCCTTTTAAAAATATTACCTCTGCCTCAAAAAAAAAAGAGAGAGAAAGAAAAAAGAAGACACTGAATTAGAAGTTCTAGGACCAGTTCTGCTTCTAACCTGCTCCAAAACCTTGCGTGTGTTAGCTCACCTCTCTGAGTAGTCACCTTTCTGATAGTTGAATATGGAGGCTGGGTTAGATGATCTTCTATTCCTTCAAGCTCTTATGTTGTAGGAAGTAAAAAAAGTAACCTAATTACCAGTCATGTTGAGAAGCAGCATGACATAGTAAAAGAATTCCTTGCTGAAAGTCAGGAGGCTGAATTCAGATCCTGGCTCATTACTAACTAGTTGTAGAAGCCTTGCAAACCATGTAAGCTCCATGGATGCCTTATCTATTGAGAAGAGATGGGGACCTGTTGGGTTGGGGAATTGATAAATAACATCTCTCATCTCTGAGAAACAGACACAAGAGGCATGCAGCTGGAGAGCATCCTTATCAGCTTTATTGCTGGTAAAGGCTGGATTGCAGAACAAGCCGCTGTGGGCTTGCCAACACATCACCCATCCCAGGCAGAGGCGGAGGCAGACAATCACAAGCTCTCTTTCCCCTATGCCCCTCTCCCAGACTCCTTAATGCAAGGAGGGGGCTGACCATGGTGCTCAAGGCAGGCAGCTGATAGGACAGTAGGGTGCACATGGGCAGATGTACTTCCTCTGGGGAGGAGTAAATGAGGGTCCGGGTGAGGCCAAGGGTGTCACCCTAATGCAGTGGTCCTGCAAGTGGGATCCCCAGACCAGCAGCATCAGCATCACCTCCTGAGTCAGAAATGGGGAGAGGAAGCCCACAATCTGTGTTTTCACAAGCACTCCAGGGAATTCTGATGGGAGCTGATGTTTGAGCCACAGCTCTGCTGGAAAGTCTTCCATGCGGAAACGTGAGGAACGGGGAATGATGTCCCCAAATAGAGGACATGGATTTTTGGACTTTTTCTTGTAGCAATTTTCGCGTAACTGTGGTTCATGACCTCTCTCCTGCGGCTGCTGTAGGTGCTTGGCTGGTTACTATGGAGACCCCATCATCGGGTCCGGCGATCACTGCCGCCCTTGTCCTTGCCCGGATGGTCCCGACAGCGGGCGCCAGTTTGCCAGCAGCTGTTATCAGGACCCTGTTACTTTACAGCTTGCCTGTGTCTGTAATCCTGGATACGTTGGTAAGTAATGTCCAGACTTTAGGAGGAAAGGTGTGTCTTTATGAGGTTAGTTGTCAAGGAAGAAAAAAAGATGGAACAGTGAGCCAATTTAGTTGTATTTTTACAATCCTTAATTAAAAGTGAAGGGAATCCAAAGTATAAAAGATGCTCTTTTCCTGTTTGTCACGTGGGGTTAGTCAATTCCTGTGTCTCTATAATAATAACGTTATAACACAGAGCACAGCAGCAAACTCATTTAATCCCTAAGTTCCTATGCACATTTTTCTGTTCTTAGCCAGTAGCAAGATTATAATTTACATTTTACATCTCCCTTCTCTAATCCAGTTCGTAGTGGAAGGGTCTTAAAGTAGTAAAATGCCCAATAGTGGGCAGAAGGGAAGAGAAGAATGTCGTGGGGGGACGCCCAGACGACAGAGTCGGTCAGAGCTGGATATAGTCTTTGCTGTTCATTGTACTCGCAGTATCTGTCCAGGTTCATGGAGTGCAGCGGGTTGGGAACGCAAACTCCCTTTTATTTCATCCTTGATGCCACTGTTTCAAATATTCATTATGCTTCCACATCGTTTGGCCAGTTTGCATGTCATTTGAGGACTTCTGAAGAAGAGAAATTGGGAGGAGTGGGTAGAGTTCACTGGCAGAGCACGGGCTTAGCGTGCATAAGGTCCTGGATTCAATCCCCAGTACCTCCATTAAAATCCCCTCCTTTAAAAAAAAAAAAAAGAAAGAAAAATTGAATACATCACAAAGGCCCATTTTCAGGTTGCTCATGTAGGCGCAGGGATTTTTCAGTTCA